AAAAAGGCCTTTTACGACGCGCAAAATACGACGCTCATTGATCTATGTTACGCAAGAGAGAGTGACATTAGAAAAATGTCATCTCTTCAAAAAATTTAAGTATATATGTCGCGTTTTATTGAGTGCCCTTAGAGTTAGTGTCTAATGTAAAAAACTTAAAAACACGGAGGGCACTTAATGTAAAATGTGCGCCGTCTCAAATGATGTCGCATTATAATTTTAGTGAAAGGCGCGCATCTCTTCACAAAAATCGAGGTTACTAATAAAATATCTAACACTCACTATTCATCAGTCACTTCACTCTCTACGATTCTATCCTCGACTCGCCTCCCCTTGCAGACAACGTCTCCTCCTCCGATCGTTAGGTTACTTCTGTGGCTGATTTCGCCTCGCCGACGACCGTGGGCTCAACTGACATCATTGGAGACTGCTCAAATTTACGTGCCCTAGGTCCGATTAAGGTGTTCCTGTTGAACCGATTTAGGCGAAGTGAACTTCTCGGTTGGCCAGAGAACGCTGTAACAGAAGAGAAAGAGCAGAAGAAAGTCGACACAAGGGGAAGAAGCGCCTGGTAGCCATGAATCTGATGCTAAGTTGAACACATTCAAGGGTTTCTCACCTACTGAAGCTTCTCAAGTCGAACACAAGGTAAAATCTCAAGCTTCTCAAGTTATATGTAATGTTTTTATCCCCTTCTTTCATCTTGCGAACATTTTCTCTGCTTTTTATCCCAAACTTTCACCTTGTCCTCAAGGTGAAGAAAGGATTGGCTAACCGTGTATATATAATGTCAGTTGCCTAAGAAAAGAGTCGAAAAATCCCTCAAAATACTCTTAATCAAACTCCCCTGTGAGATGTTTCTCTTCAGGTTCTTCGAACCCTGGTCTGGTAGAACGTAATTTTTTATGTTTTCTGATTGTACTTATGAAATTATGAAATCGTGTGGTATCTTTCATTTCGATTGGGGGTATGTATGGACGATTTGTAATAGGGATTGAGATTATGAAATCATGGTTGAAGCATTCATTAAACCCTAAATGTAGATGTCTGAGTCGAGATTTATTTTTGAACTGTTGAGAAATTCTGCAAGGACACTTGATCTTCTCAAGATCATAGAAAAAAGTTCTAAGTTGTTTCACTTAATTAGTCAAAAAGCATATTATTCTGGAACCAAAAGACTTGTTAGAGCATATTAAACATTGAAAGTGTATGTATTTATGAAATCAGCCATTGATTCATTTTACATTTTGATCATCACACAACCTCTTTGATAGAAACCAAAATCCAATAACAGATAAATGAAACTCAAATATGAGATATATAGATCTAGGAAGCTATTGGTTACTAAATGGAAATAAGAAGAAATCAGAAAGGAAATCCAAATGATTATCCTCCTGCCCTAATCAGAAAAGTTCTCTCAAGAGAAACTTACTGCCCAAGCTAAAGCCGATACTCAAAGTTACAAAATACTAAATGATTCAATACTCTTAAGAATTAAAAATCTATAAAAAGCTTGCCTGTTTGTTTAAAGCATCCAAAGTTTCTTCATTGAGGTCATTACCAGCAGTGATTCCAGTCTTTCCAAACCTCGGAACTCCAAATTCCATTCCAATTGTTTCAAAGAACTTTCTTTTCTCACATGAAAGATAAGCAAGATCACCAAAATCCAACCGAATTCCCCTTGCTTTATACCTATACAAATAAATACATCAATTAACATATTAATTATTATCATTAAAGTTTAAACCTTTTGTATCATAAAATAGAAAAAGACAATAATACCCTAGATCATTTAGTGCTAGAAGAACAACACAAAAGTTAGGAACACCACTCTTCATCACTTAGGAAAAAAAAATATTTGATAAGTGTTTGCTGACATGCAACCTACGTGGCATGTACTTGGCAAATTATTAAAAGGTTAAGGTCATATAATAACTCACGTATTTGTACTTTCTTACATATATTTTTTTGTTAAAATACTTCAGGCCTCAAGTATTTTATGCAAAAAAAATAATCCCTGTCAATTTTCATCACATACAAAAAATTTCAGGAGTGAAAATGTAACACCCAACGCAACAAAGACCCGATTACCCTTTGCCTAATGCCTACCTTTTCTGATGACTACCTTCAGCATTTTGTTTTGTTTTGTTTCAAATAGGTGCATAATTTTCAAAAAAAGACAAACACAAAACTGCTGTCTAAAGAAAATTCTGATTTTATTGCAACAAATCTTCTGGCTACAAACAAACAAAACATTCATCTCATCTTGTTAAAAATAAAGTCGATTCTTTTCTGTACACCTGTATCAAACCACTGCCATCTGTAACTTGAAGCTTCTCATTTAACATTGTCTTGTATTCATCATCTCTATCTTCTAAACCACGCATTAGTTCAACCTGTTCAATACAAACACCACATCATTTGTTGGTAATCAACATAAATTTATGATGTTGTGTCTTGTCCTAATGGGGCCCACATCATTAGAGCATATTAAACATTGAAAGTGTATGTATTTATGCTTCTAACTATTTTTGCTTGTAGGACTATTGGCAAGAGGATTAAAAGTGCATTGATCTGGGTGGTAACTACACCAGTATGTGGCTTGGTGCTGTGCATCTTACACGGTTAGTATCTCCTCCACTTATTAATTTATTCCTACAAGAAACATTTTCACTTATGATCAAATGCAATTAGGAGTAGAACCTACTTTTAGTCATTTAGAAGGTTGATCTCCTTGGTTTCCCATGCAAGTAGGTATGATGGGCACTGCCAAAAAAATTAGCTTACATGGCAAAAATTACTATTCTAGCTTTGCATTTTGTATACTTATAATAGGATTGATGAATGAGATGATTCTAGGCTTTGACATAATCTGACTGTGGAGTGTTTCATGGTCACACTAAAGCATAAATGGGCATGATTTCTGAGTTGACAGCATTGCTTGCTTTATGAAAACGTGATTTTTAGTTACTTTAATGAAGTCTTTTCAAGAAACTTACAACATTCGAGTTTTAGAAAGCTCTTAGGCGATTTTAACAACTAAAAAGTCTTTTTAATTGGATTTATGAGTGATTGTGCATTGCAATATGCATATAGTTACAATGAGTTACAATTTTTTTGTTACTTGCTGCAGGCTCAAAGGGTGATAAAGCAACAGTTTCTGCTATAAATTACACTGATATTCCACATACTCAGGTAAGAAAAGGTATTTATTTTTAATCTATCTATTTTTTAGGGTACATAAAGGTATTTATTTTTAATCTATCTATTTTCTAGGGTACATAAGTTTTTTATTTTTCATTTTCTAATATAGATTCTATTATATTATTTTGATTAAAAATTCATTTTTGTGAATATTCGTTTATAACATATAGCTCAACAGAATGAGATTAAAAAGAATGTCATCCAAAAAGCTTCTTGCTACTCTACAAGCAATACATATAACACCTGCACCTCTTCTTTTCTAACAGATCCATCATGTTCACCCTTTAACAGGATTCATACAAATCAATTCAATCATATTATAACAAAAACAATAATTAATCTATAACTAAAGTTATTACAGATAATAAAAACAACCTTGAGAAACAGAGAGTTTACCTTTCACAGAAACAGATAATAAAAACAACCTTTTCTAACAGATCTTTTATAGATCTTAGGTACTCACCCTTTCACAGGATTCATACAAATGAATTCAATCATCTTTAAATAATAATAAAATGATAATTAATCGACGTGTGATGAAAATTTTACTAACCTCAATCTGCCACATTAAATCAGGAATGGAAACAAGTAGAAACATCAACTCATTAACCAACAAAGACAGAAGAGAAAGAAAGAAAGAAAGAAACAACAAAGAACAGCCATACCTATAGGAAGTTCTTATGCAGTATTAATCACAATTAACATCAAACATAAATATTTATACATTTTTAGAATGTAACTGTCAACTGACAGTTAATACCTAATTATGGCAGTTACTTTCTATCTAACTAACACAACTTTCACTAATTCCCATTCTTAAAAATAGGTGAAACCAAATATCAAATGCATGTATTTATATTTGTAAGATTGGGCTTGGAGCAATCTGTATTTATTAAAGAAAATATTACAGTTAGCTAATTACATATTGAAAAATAAAGCTAAGTTTAAACAGATTGACCACCCAAGGGTAAAAAGGTCAAACACATAAATTATGAAGTAACGGGTTTGCAGGTGGTTTTGTGTTGGACACCTGTTTAGCCCATTTCTAACTTTCAAATTTCTGCAAAAGATCATATTCAAAATTTTAAAAGTATTTCTAATTTTCAAATTTTTGTAAAAGTTCATAAAATTTTATAACAAACACATAAAAATATTCAAACAAGCTGAAAAAGTAACTGGATGCTGAAAAAGTAATTGATAACCTATACAGTTTTGGTCCCTGCTTCAGTTTTGTCATTGTACAGTTTTGGCCCCTGTACAATTTTTTTGTCCCTGTATAGTTTTGGCCCTGTACAGTTTTGTTTTTGCATAGTTTTTGTCCCTAAACATGCGTAATCATTATTGCTTTATATGGTAAATAATTATGTAGGTTGGCAACAAATGTTTAATGGATAAATCATGGATATCCTCTAGTAGATTATCAAATGCATATGATGAAGGTGTGAATGCTTTTCTAGAGTTTGCACAAACTAATAATCCAAAGTTAGATGTTATTCCATGCCCTTGTGTAAATTGCATCAATTTGTGTCACCACTCAATTGACAATGTCCGTTATCATTTGTTTGCCCACGGCTTCGATGAGAATTATAAGATTTGGTCTTTCCATGGAGAAAAACAACCCAATAGTGATTCTAGATGCCCTAACAATTCCATTCCTCCTGATGCTATTTATACAAAGGATATGCTTCATGATGCCTTCAAATACGTAGACGATGAACCTGATTCGTTGAAATCACTTCTTGAAGAGTGTGATAAGCCACTTTATGTAGGGTCGAAGTATAATGCACTTAGTGGATTATTGAAATTCCAACATTTGAAGGGTCAATTTGGATGGTCTGATGCTAGTTTTGATGCTTTGTTGTCTGTCCTAAAAGATATCTTACCATCAAACAATACCATCCCTAGCTCGATATATGAGTCCAAGAAGTTGCTAAAAGCAGTAGGTCTACAATATGAGAAGATTCATGCATGTGAAAATGATTGTGTTCTATTCTGGAAAGAACATAAAGATGCTTCTCAATGTCCAACTTGTGGCACTTCTCGTTGGAAGAAGAATTCCAAAAACGTACCTTCAAAAGTTTTGTGGTATTTTCCTATCATTCCTAGATTTAGAAGAATGTTTTCAATACCACAAATTGCACATGACTTAACTTGGCATGCACAAGGTCGGGTCAATAGTGGGAAGCTTACTCATCCTCGCGATACCCCTTCTTGGAAGCTTGTTGATAACACGTGGAAAGAATTCGGACAGGAAAAACGAAATCTTAGATTAGCCTTGTCTGCTGATGGTATCAATCCACACAAGTCATTAAGTTCCAAGCATAGTTGTTGGCCGGTTATCCTAATAACATATAATCTACCCCCTTATTTGTGTATGTCAAGAAAATTCATGATGTTGACTCTGTTGATATCCGGGCCAAACCAACCTGGTAACAATATTGATGTCTACTTGGCACCATTGATAGAAGATCTAAAGCTCTTGTGGGAAACTGGCGTTGAGACTTTTGATTCTCATAAGAAAGAATACTTCAATTTAAGAGCAATATTACTTTGGACTATAAGTGATTTTCCCGCGTATGGTAATCTTTCGGGTTGTGTTACCAAAGGTTATTATGCTTGTCCAATATGTTCAAAGAATACTTGTTCACAATGGCTGCCAAAGTCCAAAAAAGTATGCTTCCTTGGGCATAGAAGATTCCTACCACTTGAACATCCTTTTCGCAAAAGAAAAAAACATTTCAACAATCAACAGGAGCACGATTTTATGCCACAACCATCATCAGGTGAAGAGATTTATGACTATCTGGCGGGATTTGAGACTACATGGGGTAAGAAGATAAAGCCAAAGAAGGTAGGATCAAAGAAGATAAAGTTAAAGAAGATAAAGTCAAGGAAGGGAGCGTCAAAGAAGGAAACACCAAAGAAGGAAAAGACAAAGAAGAAAAAGAAAGTATCGACAAGAGATCTAAATTTTGGCATAAGAAGTCAATTTTTTTTGAACTTGAATATTGGAAGAAGTTGCCTGTTCGCCATCAGTTAGATCTCATGCACATAGAAAAAAATGTGACCGAGAGTGTTTATGGGACAGCGTTGAATTTGCCTCACAAGACGAAGGATGGATTAAAAGCACGACAAGATCTTGAAGCGTTGGGCATCAAGACTGAATTACGACCTGAACCAAAAGGGGATCGACATTGGCTTCCGCCTGCCAAGTACACATTGAATTCCGCAGAGAAACATCTATTTTATGAAACCCTGTCTAACATAAAAGTTCCTTATGGGTATTGCTCTAATTTCAAGAATCTCGTGTCGGATGATGTTTCAAAGATGAATGGTTTGAAGTCTAATGATTGCCATGTACTAATGCAACAACTTCTTCCATTTGCAATCAAAGGGGTGTTAGATGTGAAGGTGCGGAGAACAATCCTAAGCCTGTGTCATTTTTTCAATGAGTTGTGTAGTAAAGTTGTTGATGTTAGTAAGCTAGGCAAGTTGCAAAGTGACATCGTATTAACATTATGTTTGTTAGAGAAGTACTTTCCTCCTTCATTTTTCGATGTCATGACTCACTTGATGGTGCATTTAGTTAGAGAGGTGAGGTTGTGTGGCCCGGTTCATTTTAGGTGGATGTATCCATTTGAGAGATACATGAAAACACTTAAAGGGTATGTAAGAAATCATCATCGACCCGAGGGTTGCATTGCAGAGTGTTATGTGGCAGAGGAGGCCTTAGAATTTTGTTCAGACTACTTAAAAAACAAGAAATCAATTGGCAATCCTCATGAGCGTGTTGATGAAAGAATCCGCAGTGGCAAGCCTTTATCAAAGGCTACAATTGATGCTGTAGATGCTCAGTTACTTGATCAAGCTCATCTTTATGTATTACGAAACACTGCTGTTGTGGAGCCGTATATAGAGTAAGAATTACATGAAACTGTATACTCTTATACCATTATCTATCATATAAAACATTCTTTTAACTTGTAATACACTTCAGGCAACATATGTTGGAGTTGAAGGATCTGAACCCCCGTCATGCTCGCAAGAGTACATGGTTGCAGAGCCAACATAGTCGGACATTTATTAGTTGGTTTAAGAAAGAGGTTTTTTTTAAAATAAGATTGTTAGAATTACAATATTTTTAATTATTTTTTTGAATTACATTAATTATATATTTTTCTAT